GAAAATGTTTAAAAAAAACAACGAATAGTACACTAAATTAATTTGTCTACTGAAATAGGTCAGAAATTCGATTTCAAAACTTCGCTAAGTAAACGTACAAATCTGAAAAGTATCATACAACTTAGCCTATGTCTTTTGCTTAGATAATTTGTAAAATGACTGTTAGATACATATTATTGACAATTATATACTGCACTCGGTGTAATCTGATTTTTTATTAGCACTTATACAAAAAAATAGACAAATTTTTACCACCATCACAACTTACTTTTTAAATCAATATATCCGTTTGTATCAACTGAGGATTTATCTGCTCTATAATGTGCCCTTTAAGCTGAACATCACCAAATATTCCTAACATTAAAGACGTTTTATTGATCTGTTTAACCTATATGGTTAATGTTTTTTGGGCAATGCTGAATCGTATGACAAGATGCTATTGTGATCCTAAATTACCAACACATATTCCCCAACGAATTACATTATTAAGGATATTCGAGAAAGACAACAAACTTAATGTAAGCCTACTTAAGAGAATTTCATAATGTAAAAATATATTCCGCTCAAGGGAATATCAGGATTAACTAATTATATTGGCTTTATTTATAAAGTCAGTAGAGTATGCTGTCTGAAACACAAGTTGTTTATAATATCGAGAAAGCCTCTCCAAAAAACTCGGGCGTATTTAGTCAGGTCGAGAGAAGTTACTTGATGTAGTTTTTATCAAAATATCACTTTAGTATACGATTATCAAAAAATTGCTTTTTCAATATACATCTTCAACACACAGTTTTATAGTGTTGTTTAAATGCTTTTTTTTAACTAGTGCGACTGACTTTTGATACCTTCAAAGTTCTGAAGTTGTTTATAAGAACTTTTGTCTAAATTTGAAAGAATATTTTCACAGTAGTTGAGCGCAGAGTTAATGTTGGTCATTAAGGACGGAATCATATTTGTAAAACTCCCAGCGATTGAACTCTAAGTAAATACAACAGTTTGCTCGGCAGCCCGATCCTAGCTTTTTCAAGAAAATATAATCAAACATCAAAAATATCGACTATAAATACACTTAAAAAAGTCATCCAATCTTGATAACAATGTTGAAATTAAGATTTGCTGTAGTGTGTGTGAGACATTTGATGTGAAAACTGTGTTAAGATAACAGGTGTATGTACAAGTGCATCTGATGTGATAAAAATTTCATTGACTATATTTCATCTGATTAGCATTTTTCGATGAAATCAGATAATTTTATAGATTATATGAGTCTAACATGTTATAGCAAGCACAATATGAAAATCAGTAAACAAATAAAAGTTGTTGTTGTTACATCGACTAAGCTGATTGTTCATCATATACTTGGATGAACCAACCAAGTGAGTAGTCACTCATCAACGGGAAATTGATTATACTTTAATGTTTGAAAACAGAGCACTTAATTGATATCTATCGTTACTGCAAAGCTCCGCACTTTTTAAGTATGTTTCTTAATGCAGGATGTATAAGTTAACATACGGTAAGAGAAAGTAAGCTATGGCAAGATTTTCAAGTTTTAATACTTCCAAGTAGACTAAACAGTATGAGTTTTTATTTTCCTAGAGCCTCTTCGACTTAGCCTAATGTTAAAGAATTTCACCAATGCAAAAATTAAACAAACATACCTTATGTCTTAAAGCTTAGCTAACTTCACAAGCAACATGTAGCATAGTATGTTTTAGGTGTATTGAAATACTTGCGAAATTATGATTGTATCATGAATTATTTATTACATGTGAATTTGTGCATTTAATTTGATTTATAGTAAAATGGTATAATCTATAAAATGGTATTTCAGATTTATAATCCATTTTTCAATTCAAATTATTTTCGGCTCATTTATTTTCGTTTGTTGTTGTCATCGGTGTTAACAGAAATTTATAGCTATCTGGAATATATATTGAGTAGCATTTGTATTATGCTTTCGAATGTCATTCACAGTAATCTTTGTCACTGTTACTTTACGTAATCCTGTTTTCAAGTGGATACTTTTTTCCGATGGTCAACTTATTGATAAGAGTTATCACGTTAGGCTCTAAATTATTTGTAATCATAAATAGTTTTAATATTCATTTTATTCTGAATGTCTTTAGTTGATGAGATTGATTCATATATCTGAAGTTAAAGATTTTAGAATTGTTTAGGTTATAAACTTTGGTATGTAGGATGATAGATTGTTTTATACAGTTAAATTTATTACAATGACTACTTTCATATGGAATGTAGGGGGACAGCTCTTTCTAGATTAACAATCGCCTTACTTATATATGGAGTGAACAGATAGAATTTTGATGGAAGGAAGATAATATAATTTTATATTAAAACTATGAATTAACGATAGTCTGAACACGTTTTCATACTAAAAGACTGACTCTTTATATGAACTTATCCATTATTAAACAAAACACTTTAAAGATTAAGAAATATATAAGTCTTCATTATATAAGACTGATAATTGTCTTCTGATATGTCTTTCTAACGTAATCACGAAACAGTTGGAACAAATAAAAGTTCAATTCTAGTCGAACTTGTGATATGAATCTAGAAATGAAATAAAAATTTAAAGTGAAAACGTTTAACTATCTAGACTCTTGTTGATCCAGTTGACAAACAACTACTGTGATTTCATCACAAACAATCAAGCAAACTACTAATTTTCCTTATTTATAAAATAATTTTTGTAATATCGACTTTATCAATGTAATCACTTTCTTCTAAGTTAAAAATAAATCATCCCAGAAAGATGTCTATTTACAAGAATCTTGTTTTTTTCAAAAGTTTAATGATCCTTAATATTAATTCTAATGCAACTCTTATTTTGAAACGTTTTACCCTTATACAATCTATTCAATCTTTCTAGGGTGACAAAACTCAAAATAGGTGGTAGTTAATTTTTTTTGCTTATCCATTGTTTAAAAGTTGTAGTAATTCAGTTAACCACTATTAGCAATTAAAAAAAGAAAAAAAACACGTTGGGGAACTACACTGGCCTTGGTATAAATTATATCATCTTTATGCTTTTAGTGTTTTTCCCCCCAATATTTTGAGTATAATGTTATGTTTTCTATGTACGTTTCTTACATTGTTAATTAATAGCCAACTGATTATAAACCAATGCTCTCATCCGTAAGTTTGGAGCTTTTTGAAGTAAAGGGACGTTTCCACAAATTAGCGAAAATCGTTTCTTCTGGTTTAATTCCGGTAGTTTTTGTTGTTCCATTTCCTTTCAAATAGTGTAATGTATTAATTTCTATTTAAACGCCATTTCGATTAAGGAAGGGGATAAGATTCGAAAACCGATAATAATTTATTTTACTTTGTGGTATTGACTAACTAAAAATAACCTATAAAATCGAATATTTTATGGAGTCAAAAGATTCTGAAAATTTATTCCATTCGACACGATAATATAATTTACCATCGCTGCAAGTGTTACGAAATATTTCTTTTAACTGGTAGATAGTTTTTACTCTCTCGGATACAATAAATGACAGATGTTCATTTAATATTCATAAAAACAGTGTAAAAGTAGCACCAAATACAGTGCAGAACAAGAATGTTGTGATTTAGCCTTTGTATTAAGTACTAATTTATATCTCTGTAAAGTCAATGTACATCCAGAAACTAACACTTTGGTTACCTATGAATATCACTTTAAGGTGTCATTAAAACTTCGATATTTTTGGATCCTTCAGTAGAGAAATTATGAACTCGTTCTTGGTCAGCATCTGACGTCCTTCCTGTTTTATAAGTTTACGAACTGTTCATGTCGCTTGATTTATGCTTCGTAAGTGGTCATAAAGTCTTCATCTTCCACATTTATCACCGAATAGTTAGTCTGTTGATATCATTCGGTGATGACAGATAGTAACCAAAGTATTTTATTCTCTTTGACATTTGTCTTTCGATAAACACTACCAGATTTGATAACTGAAACCGAACCTATAATGTTAAGTGGCAAAAACATTTTATTTATCTTACTTCATCCACATCATAATCCGTCGCTAACTTAATAATTTTACAAGGCAACTTGCTTCTGTAAAAAGATTATGATTAAAAGCTGCCTTTAGCATTTCTCTGTCTATTATTGTTTTCACATAATGTTCATTGGTGACTCATGTATTTGTAACTCATCTACTAGATACAGGTATTCCTATTTACTTTTAAGTCATACTGTGTGTACATGAATGTCAAAGACACTTCTAGATAACAAATATCAAAGTAGGTGGAGTAGGTTTTGAATCTAAATACTATTATTGTAAGGAAACAAAAGTAGTGGCTAGCAGTGAAACCCAGGACTCGCGTTTCTTCCTGTTTGGGACTCATCAGCCCGGTGCACCTCCACCCCAGAGTTGATGTTCAGTCCAGGACTCGAAGAAGTCTGGCTCTGCTATAATTCTTGTAACTAAAGGCAACATCGAGGCAATCCGCACAAGATGCACATATGCCAATAAGAGACTGATCAACTACAGTCCTAAACATTAATAGGCACACTCCAACAAACCATACAAAAATGAATAAGAACTTCACCTGACTGCACAAGCTAGTGACTGTCTGAATTCAGTAGCTAAGTGTATAACTTGATGGCGTTTGAATCGAACAATACTGAAATAGGTTGGAGTTTCGGAACAAACATCAACTGTGGGATGCAGGTTTATCCGACTGATGAGTCACAAACAAGACGAAATGTGCGTCAAAAATTCTACTGCTAGTCATCTTTAATGTTAGTTTATATTACAAACAGTAGTAAATTCACATGTACGTTGCCATAAACCTAGCCACCTGCTGGATTATTAATTTAAATAAATAATTGTAGAACCTGAAGAGCATTTATTGAAATCAGTAAGTTCCGTTTACATATCTGTGTTCTAATATGATGGGAATTTTTCAGCGACTTATCTTTTTTGCAAGAAATAACCAGTCATTTTATACTTACTTTTTTTTATCATTTCATATTATAACAGTTAACATAATGGATTTATGGCGCGTTGTAGAGACATTCAGAGAATTCGGTTTACACCAATTGAATGATCCTCAAGCAAGTTTAGATTATGGAAGTACATTCCGATTACTATCACGTATTTATTCACATATACCTACAACGAATATGAATATGACTACCACAACTGATGAAACTACATCAACTAATGTAATCAATCAACCTGCAATAATTATTGCAGCAGAAATCCTACTTGGTTGGCTTGGATATGCTTTGGACTTATGTGCAACTGGCCGACTTAGCGTAACTGGACTAAAAATCACCTTATCAACGTTAACTAATGCAAGACCAGCTGATAAATTTCGATGTCAGTTCTTTTGAATACTTTTTTGAATTTTTTTTAAATAAGATTTCACGATAAATTTTTTGCACTGAATAATTATTCAAAACACTCAGTCTCTTTCATAAATTTTGACAGTATTGAGAACACGAAGGTTATCTGGAAGATGTGCTTTTATATTATGTATCAGTAACATTCTGGTCATGTATATATATATATATATATATATATATATATATATATATATATGAAAGCCAGTTAAGGACAACTAAATAAAAATTCAATAGCTATAAAGTGATAATTTGAAAAAAATCTATGGAAAATAAGAAGTAGTAGGGTTTAGTAATATACGGAAAGTTTCAGCTACTCGGTTTTCTTTGTAGTTCGGAAAGCCTGTTCATATTACATTGATGTTTTTGGCATCAACTTGTGTTGGGGACGCTAGATTCTTAGAACTCACTTTGTAGCCGACATATTTTTTAAATTTTATTTCGGAAATTTGAACGCCTCGCCAAATGCGCCCACTCTTACCTTCAGATTGTTTTTCCCACTTCAAAGAACCCTAAATGTTATTAGTTGGTTGCATCCTTAGTATACTATTTTTTGACGTTTCCCAAAGACATTTTTATGCTGTATATATGCGCTTCAGTTGTGCGCTTGTGATTGTTCGTGCTTTTGGAATACACTTTCCCCCATCTGGACCTCCCTCCAGTTAGCGGAGCTGGGTTTTCGACCAAACGTCCGAGCTACCATGTATGATTCTATTCACAACTCACACATACAAATTCAACTCTATCCTACCACATCACAAATGTTACATTTCTCACCCATCAACACACACAAATACAGAATCATGTCTCTCATAAATCACCTTGATCAGCGTGACGTGACATTGACCTAATCGAACTTATTTTTTGATTGATTGTACTATTTATTTTTATTTTGTCCCTTCGTACTATTTATACGTGGGTTAATTCAATTTGTTTATTTATTCTCTGAAGTAATAGCTTACATTGAGTCGCGAAACGTCAGAAAATTTTATTGTTCTACTCATAAGGATATTTAAGATATTTTTTATCAGTGAATTTTGAGATTGTTCAGAAAATGAACAGTTTTTATCCAGTTAAATAATTTTGTCTTTCTACTTTAAAAAATCATCACTGGGTAATACTTATTACACTTGCAGTACAAGCAGTAGTTTGCTAATTCAATAGCAGATAAAACACAGGTCTGGTGGACATTTTTGCTTATATATAAGTAACTGGACACTTCGTTTTCGATAGGTCATTTAATAGTCTCGTGTGTCTATCAATTTTTGAGTACATTTATTGATTATGCATATGTGTTAAAACGACGAAAGTTATATGTAAAAATCCACTTGGTTTTTCTCATGACTTACTCATGTCTGTCAACCATCTTGAAGCATAGGGTGACTTCCAGGATTCTCCAACCAAATCTCTTCTGGGTCCTCCTTCCCATTTGTTGCCAAGTGCTGTTAACTCTTTTGACGTCTAACTCCGATTCCCGGTGCACTGTGTACTTTGGTTCGCCTCTTTCCATTGTTCGTTTAGAATCCCGTGATAGAGCTTTTTTTGTGAGATACTTTGGTGATTTCCGCAAAGTTTAATTTGTACACCTTCAGCTTTTTTTCTAATTTCCTGTTCAGACGGAATCTGATTTTTCGCTGCCACAGTAGACTGTTGTTAACCGTTTCTGGCTAACGGATATTTAAGTATCTTGCATATATAGCTGTTTGTAAATACGTGCTCTGGTTGTCCGGAGAAGCATTGGCTTCATGACTTTCGAAGAATCTCGGCTTTCTCTTCGAGGTGTCTGCGGGAAGATCCAGAAAACTCGGAAAAAGTCAAAAGGGGCTCTGAAAACACTGAGGAACATCTTATCTAATCGGCATTCGATAGAAGTTTCACCAGAAATATCTAGAAAGTGGAAAGTCACATTTCACATCATGATTGGATGATTGCATATACTGCTACTGTGTTTAGTAGCGTTCCAGAATTTTCCGGGACCCCAAGGTCATCTAAAATGCCATAATTACCCTAGATTTTCTGTACATAAACGAACCTTGGATTAAAGCGTTTCTTCTACATTTCGAGCCTTTTCTCTCGTGTTCAGGTTGCTGTGTAGATTTAGTATGAGGGTTATTTGAAGAGCTTAGGAAACCGAATCTAGCGTTCAATTAGAAGAATCATCAGTATCGTAACTCTTCTACATAATTACTCTGTTGTTTTGAGAACAGTTTAATCGGTTAAAACTGTTATTCCTAACTGGAATTTTCTTGCAGGATCGCTTTCCACGAGATGGGGTTGTTGACGCCATGTTTAACCCTCTGCCTTTACACAGGCTTGGGATCGGCAGTAACGATCTTTAGATCGTTTAGATAATGTATGAGGGGATAACTTCAATAGTAAATTTATATTTGCTTATCATTATCAGTCAACATAATCTGAAACCATAGTGTGCTGCAAGTGGATTAAATTTTTGAAGTCTTAGAATATAGCAAAATATTTAGTTGGTATATTTTTTTAATTTACCAGTTTTTCAGTACCTTCAAATTTGAATGTCGTATATATATTATTATAATTGTAAAGGTTGGACTAATATATGACTGCATAAGATTTGAAGCACAAAACCAATTGACTTTATGTGGTGGTCGTCTCTGCTATTTGTCATATTGTTTATTATTATTATTACAGTCATCACCACCCTTTAAATTTTTAAGCCTTCAAAACTATGTTTCATTGCTGTTTATCAAACGATTAAAAATATCAGGATAGATTATTACCATATTATAAATAAATAATATATTTGTAATATCCCAATGAGTAGAAAAATTAGATTTTCCGACGTTTCGTGACTCAGTGTAAGCCACTTCTTCAGAGAAAAAATAAACAAATTAACATTAATCCAAGTTTAAATAGTACAACGGAACAATCAAAGAATATTAGGTACTATTTAAACTTGGATTAATGTTAATTTGTTTATTTATTCTCTGAAGAAGTGGTTTACACTGAGTCACAAAACGTCGGAAAATCTTATTTTTCTACTCATTGGGATATTACAAATATATTAATTTATTTATAACAATCTACCCAATGCTCAATTTATTCAAAATTATCAAATCAAAACTTGGTAATGATTACCATATTATGTTTTAATCTTCTATGAATCGTATGATGATAAAACAGTAATTATCAGACGATAGTTAATTATTAGAGATGTGCTGCTATCGTCTTTTCGCGAATAATTCTTCTATAAAACCTGCAATTTCTACTACTATTAATCGTTACATCAACAATTTTAACCGATTGGTATAAATGTTACTGTTTAGCATCAAATTTAAAGTTATTCACTTTCTTTTTCAGATCACTTCACTCTTTTGTCCGATCCCTCAGGTGCATTAATCTTCTCGAAATTTGAGGCTTATCTACAAGATTTACTCAAATTACCCATAAGCGTTTTCGAAGGCACAAATTTCTACTACACGCCACAAGCTTCACAAACAATGTTTACTGGGGTATGTTTCAGTGGGATTTGTAGTAACGTTCTTGGAAATTCAAATGTGTAATTGATTCATTGTTCTTTAAGATATTTGAATAGCTGAAGAAGTAGCTTTTAAAATTATATTTAGCTGAGTGTTTAATGTCATTCAAAGATTTTTCGTCATACCAAAAACGCGATTCGACGTCTTAAATATTGGTTTGCCGGGAAAAGTGTTGTCGCCTCTTTCCCGAAATCTTAAAGTTTCTTTGTTTCCTAAGATTTTTTTATTATACCGACTCGGTGCGTTATATATTGTAGATTCAGTAAAATGTTTCTTTGGTTAAGAATCACACAAAAATGAAATTCAAAATAAATTTTAATGGGATAATTGCATTTTTTTGTTCGGTTGATTTTATTGTGTACTGTTTGATTTTTATTTTAAAAGCGTTCTAAAAACGTAGTCCTCGAAGAATTCTTGGATCGTATGCTATCTGATCAAGGACCACAAGTATTAGTATGGCTTACGATTTTTCACCGGTTAATCAGTGTGGCGAATGGTAAGTGGTATATTGAATATTTTTGGAAAATTAACGAAATTAACCAGTTGTGTCATTCAAAAAAAATAATGATAAGTCAATGAAAACAATTTTCTTGTTCGCAATGTCATTCTTTAAAGTTGTACAATCGTATTTATAGTGATTTAACAAATATATATTATTCATTGAAACAGAAGATTACATAACTGTCTGTCTGGCAACTGATGTCATACGGATTAAAAATAGTTTGGTTTTTCTGATGAACATATAAGACCCTATAGTAGATATAATACAATGTATGCTATATGACTGGTAATAAACCAAGGCATACCAGATGTGAGCTGTTAGTTACTAATTAACTTAATGTTTGCTGAGATCTACTTTATTCACAGGTGTTATTTAATACAAACTCTCACTAAATGAAAGGAAACATCTATCCAGGTTCTAGTAGTTTATAATGTTTCAAATTAACTACGAAAGTAGTATTCATTTCTTCAAAAATCCACTGCCTAAAGTATTTATTCAAATGTACCACGCTTTATTTGATCTGAAGGTAAAAGTCATTTGACAACATCAAATGTATTCAACATTTGATCACATACCTTATTTGATATCATAAAATGTTTATTGGTGTATACATCTGTTATAACTTGTGGCTGAGTGGGCGCCCTGTTAACATATGACGTGATGAGGCCACCAATTAGAGAGCAACAAATTATCGATTGAACCAATGATACACGGAAACCGTACGAGCAGTCCAGAGTACTTGTCGGTTCTGCTTTCTGTCTAGCCCAGACAGTCAAGTACGAATCAACCTCTGCAGTAGGAATCATATTTCAAACATACTGAGTTTAAAGCAATTAGTCCCTTTGATAAATTTCGATAACGCAATGAGAAGACGAAGATTATCAGAACTATGTGATATATTAGCGCAATACATTTCGAACAATCTGATCACACGTACTATACTTGTTAAGAACATTTATATATAAAAAATAAAAGGTCAACTACACTGGAAATAGGGGTAAGAATAGACAAGGATAATAATGATAAAATAATGTGAAAACAATTTGACACCTAATCACTCTGGATAATAAGCATATATTACCAGGGTAGGTTTAAAGAGAGAACAAACTGTTTTTGAATACACAAAGGGGGGTTGAATTTTCGTATGGCTAAGGCTTCGTATTGTGCTGCGAAAGTCATAATCAAGGAAAGAACGAGGTCCATGCTTCATTCAAAACCTAGACGGAATGAAAACGATTGTGTCACATCCCACTGTGTTTACCAATTTAAATGTGTGTGTGGTCACACATACATAGGGAGGAGCAATCGTGATCTGAAAATTAGGGTGGGTGAACATGTACCAAAATGGTTGCAAAAACAAATACAGTCGAATGACCCAATAAGAGTAGAGGATAAACATCCATCATCCTCTATTGCTAAACATATAATCGAAACAGGTCATAAGATTGATGTAAACTCGGCTTTTGTGGTGTTGTTTAAAAGTGTAAAAGGGCGTATACTAAGGTTTGTTGAAGCCTTAGCCATACGAAAATTCAACCCCCCTTTGTGTATTCAAAAACAGTTTGTTCTCTCTTTAAACCTACCCTGGTAATATATGCTTATTATCCAGAGTGATTAGGTGTCAAATTGTTTTCACATTATTTTATCATTATTATCCTTGTTTATTCTTACCCCTATTTCCAGTCTAGTTGACCTTTTATTTTTATATATAAATGTTCTTAACAAGTATGTGTGATACTGAGTTTATATACCAATCAAACTGACCACGTCGTACCATAAAATAGAAAATAACATATGTACAAGACTTAGCCAAATGTGGTTGTGAATATGGGAGGCAGTAATTAATAGACTAGGGATAACTCAAAAATGGTAAATCGTATAATATTAGTCTATAGGTCAAAATACAGCTTATAATAAGACAGACATGAATATGAGTAGTTTAGTTATCTAGCAATTATACGATAAAAAATAAATGCATAGTATTGGTTCATAAATAGATCCGAAAGTTACCAATCATTATCCTTATTGGGGTATAACAACATCTTTGTCTTCAACCTAATACTTCAGTAAACGGTAATTTCAGTAATCTTTAAACGTGAGTGAATAAATTCAAACTTGAATCTCCGTCATTTTAAGACATATACTTACCATACAGCTACAAATGCGGATGTACAGCTTAAGTTTTCTTCTTTGAATTCTTTTTATTTTTATTCAATGATACAATGAATTATTTTAGTTACAAAAGCTTGACTAATCGGGTAATTTATTTTCATGGAAATCTCAAAACTTATTTAACTAGCTTTTTTTATATTTTATTTCATCACAGTCCGACATAACGTACGATGTGAGGGCTGCAAACGTGAACCTATTTGCGGTCTACGCTACAAATGTACTCGATGTCCTCACTATAATTTGTGTCAAGATTGTTTCTGGATTGGCGTAACCACAGATCAGCATACAAATGCACATGATGTGAAAGAATATAGTGCTGCCTCAGTAAGCTATTTCCACTATATATATATATGTATATATATATATATATATATATATATATATATATATATATATATATATATTAAACGAGGTTCGCTTTCGAGCTAGCAAGTCTTTGGGAAAATCTTTGGTTCGTCACAGATCATTACTATGTGCAACACTTTTATACTTACTGGAAAGACATTGTTCTGAATGAATAGAAATAAAAAACAAACTTAAAATATTCTAATACACATCTTTATAAAATAATTCAGAAAACTAGAACGTTTATTGTGTTATCGGTACATTATGGATACTGATATAGTGGAATATTCCACAACAATAAGCTATCTAAAAGAGGAGTATATGTTTGCAGAATGAGCTATGTTAAGTAGGTCAATCTAAAAATGAAACACATGGTATACGAGATGTAATGACTTCTGAGTAAGTACTTTTAAATTTTGCAATACAAACAATAATCATGAACGTTTCTTGCAATACACTCATCAATATAATATTTGCTAGTTAACAGCACCTATCAACGAATCAACATACAACTGAGATCGTTCTGATTTATCATATTTGTGTACTTACAGATAAAGAGCACAGATTTCATTGAAAATTGAAAATAACAGAACAGTGACTGTTCATTTATGATAAAATCTTAAATAGCCAATGATTATTCTTTGATTTATTAAAATATGTGTGGATTGAAGTTAGGCTTATACATCACGGAGTCGGGACTCAGTGGTTTAAACTTTAAGCGCTGGCAAGCGGAATAAATTGTTTAGGGTTCGATTCCTGGTTTAATGGTCGTGGATGAGTATCACTGAGACCCTTATACCAGAACAAAACGGCTATCCAGTACTTACGTTTTCAACGGTTTTTACAGCTTATATAGGCTTGTGATCTTTTTGTGGCCGTATATCTGACTCCAGTTAGATCGGAAAAGTGATCGTTATCGAATGATTGCTGTAGAAATATACATCCTGACTATCCTCGTATATAATTATCGACTTGAATCGCGTTAACGAATAGCGGAATTGAATTAGTCTAATGCGAGAATAAAGTTTCGAACACGTACATTTTGTATGATCGTTGACCAGAAAAGACAATCAGAAACAGAACGAAACGAAATGACGTGCGGTGGAGAAGACATGTGAGCCAATTCCATTTAACCAAGCGTTAATCGATATTTATAGCCCAACCAAAATAAGTTACAGACATGCGATGATTAGGACCAGAAGTGTTCACGCATACTCTCATTAAAAAACAGTCAAGGTTGATAAGTGAACAATTAACAAGGTCAGAATGTGACCCAAAAACAATGGATAGGTTGACCTGTCCGGAAGCTAGAATAAGCTATGTGGGCCTGCATAGCTCTACAACCTTAGTATATTGAGAAAACATATCCACTAGTTTAAGAGTAAGGAAGCATGCATAAACCAAAGTAATCTGACGATACATATGTGTACGAAAACAGCTTCCACAACAAGTTACTACATCGTTTAATTTTTTAGAAGCCAATTTTTTAAAGATTTACATGTAAATATAGAAACAACGTAAACAGCGAATTGGTTCGTTCAAAATAAACTCTAATATTTACTAAGCTGGTATATATATATATATATATATATATATATATATATATAGCCTCGTGATTTAACTAAAAATTTCTGGTTATGAATTAGTGCTCTTCAATCAACCCCCATCAGTAGATAAAAATCATTACAAGGTAGATAAATCTCCTAATGACCACTCACAGATATTTTCCATAAGGCATTTAAAGAAAAATATGTAGAAGGATAGCTCAGCCTGTACTTCATTTATCGCTTGGACTGGTTATAAAATCCACTCTTTCCAGTCATATAATCATATCGTAGTCAGTAATTATGGTTATGTTTTGTGTTTATTGTGCCACCAATCTGTAAATATTTTGGAATAATTTATATTATAGAATGAATTCGTGATATGACAGTTGCTAAGTAGTAATTTTTCCATCATGACTGACTGAACTACACTTGACACGTCCGTAGCACGATTATGTGGTATTTTCGTCGTAGAATACTTTACATTGTTTACGTAAGCCAGCGAAAACGACTTATATCGAAATATGTCCTTCATCATGGATTACGATAGTGTAACTGAGAATTCCGATTCATTTTAATTGGTTGTCAGGTCCAAGGTCAAAATTATCAACAACAGTGGAGTTCATCCTCACCCATCGCTTCTATTACCCAAGTGGAATTTATGGAACACTGTAGTAGTTCACTGAAGTCTTAGCAACATTATTCTGTAAATTTGCTACTAATTTCATTTCAGAAATCTCATTCCCGTCAGTTTGGGCATTCTTTGAGAAAATCGTTTCAATTTGGACGGGCCATTACTAACTCCACAACATCAAATGTTGTTACTACATCTTTCACAAGTAGCTTCAGTGAACGTCAGAAATTTTCTGGCATGAATGTTGCTCGTCGTCCTCATGTAGGATCCATATTTGAATGGAATTCAGACCCTTCTGTACCAACCGGCATCATTTCTTGCGTAAACGGCATTACTCCATCCGTACCGAACGACATTGCGACGGGTATTTCTGCTAGATGTCATCCAGGCCAACCTGCTCCAAATCAGAGATTCATGGCACCAGTGAATACTATTTGCAGTCCATTACCAAATCGGCGCTTGCAACAGCTCAATCCTTTATTTTTAGCAACTAGACCAAATACTAACTTATCTAATATCACATATGTACCTCCCCAATCTGCAAAAGTTCAACCTTCCCCTAACAGTTTAAACGAATCGAATCAAGGATCGAGTGGTGTTGCGCGAAGCTTAGTGGCTGTTACCAGCTACACAAATGTAATGCAGCAACAAGACTTGATTACCTCAGACTATGCAAGAGCCGGTAAGCTACACTTCTACTTAATTTTCGCTCTGTGAAATTATCGCTACTTGAGATGGAAAACCATATGTTAATCTTTATCTGTTTTCGAGTCTATTAATAACAGAATAAATTAACTAAAAATAACCAAAAGAGATATCTGTAAAATGAAAACGTAATATATTCTTTGCTATGACTTATCTACATATTATCACAGTTAGATTAAACCGATGAACACGTAATGCTATGTAAAACTTAATTGTACTTTCGTTTTCCTGACCGAAATTTCGCTCTACAGAATTTCATTAAAATAAATTATATGGTTGTTATTTCAAGGACATTGGCTAATATTATTTTCCAGTCACGAATATTTGGCTTATTGATTAAAATACTTGACGTTCAGCCAGTGACTGCTAAGTTCGAAACACACTCCACCTACTTTGGTATAGGCAGTGAAATTTCAGAGACCTAACTACTTCTAAGCCAAGCCACTATTTTAGATAGCATTTTCAACTCATTTACAGCATCATGATTACTCAACCCTATCGGAATTTTAGTGACCGAATAGATAAAGTATAAAAATAAAGAATAGTCACAATCAATTATTATAAGTGCTAATAAAATATCTCATTTTCCTTTAATTTATTTCAGGACATAGTATTTTATATTCTGAAAAACCTCCTGGTTCACACATGACCAATCTGTCAGGAGCAAATCACCAACCACTACCTATGTAAGTAAAAGATATTGCTATAATATTTCCTTTCGGCTGTAACTCTATGATTTATTTTTACCCATTTTCTACGAAAACATTATACATAACTTTGAACTGACTATGACAACTGAAGCTATGAAGTAAGCTACATTAGGGTCATTTTAAAGTAACTGTTGGACCCCGATATTGATGACATACTTAGAAACCTGGGCTGTCTATTTTTCCAACGATTAGAATATTTCTATGAGATACCTATTTTTTGTGTTCAATGTAACTGTCAGATAATCGTATTATCCATACATGCGGTTATATCATCAGACTAGAACTTTTCGTTCTACAAAGTGAAATTCAAGCGAGAACATGCATTAAAAATAATGACAGTTAGTCAGAAATCCATTCCTGAAATACTCAGTTCTAGTCGTGCATGTATCATAGGTCAAATGAACCTTCTGACTTCTCTTGCCCCCAAACTTTTATATTAGCTTTATTATAATCGCTATACTAGAACCCTTGTCATTTTACGATGATAATTTAGTATCACTACATATTCTTAAGAGTTATTATCGGATTCGTTTCAATGATAGAAGTACCGTGGCAATGCAGCTATGTTTATGAATGTGTGCTAGTGTCAATTTAACCACATATGGTTTTGACTTTCAAAAGATTTTGTACATCGTGTAACGGTAATCGTATCCAAAACAGCTGAGTAAATTCATTTATACCACCAATAGTTTTATGATATTGGGCTAACTTCCTTCCGCACTATCTGTTTTCGCTGATGGTTTCACTGAATTTGCTGAGACTGTTATGAGGGATTTTGTTATAGTCAGAAATGACGATTTCAACTTATGCTGCTACACCTTTCTTTTATCTCTAGTTCACCAAAATCTAGTCAACTTCCTTACCCGTTTCAATACTCCTCTAGATTTGGCTTCTTTAAGTGATTCAACTCGCTAACGGCCTCCTCTTCTAAGTTATAATCATTTTATTCTCTTTATTACCCCTTATATATGTGGCCAGACAAAATAAAATACACTTTTTTATCAGACAAGGAGGATTAAGTGTAAGCATCGGTCAGAGGAAAATATCTAGGATCTGTAAAATGCATTTTGAACGACAGATAATTTATTTGAAAACTCAGTTCATATTATCGCGTCCTAAATTGAATCTCCATTTGATGTTTGATGATACTGAAAGTAATTTTATGCAATTCAGTCAACCTACCTTCTTACAACTTAGAAGATTTAGGCAAGAAGAAAAACAACGAGGAAAAGTATTTCATTGAACTTTGAGAACTGAGTCGCAGTGTAAGTCATGAAATCAAACGCTTGAATCCAACATATCCTCAAAAGCCTTATCTAGTAAGAGTTACGTAAATATATAAAAATCTATCTAAAGAACTTATAGGTGGGAAACGGATTAAGCACAGCATCTAAGTGGATCTGTTTACCTTAAACAAAATTTTTATACTTCAAGTATTTAATGTTACGCTTTCTTCTTCTCCGCGTTTGAGGTGACGTTTTGTCTAAAGATTTACTGAAATGTTTTAGAGCGTTTAAAGTCTCTTAACTCGTCATAATGTTTAGAACTTGAGGGCAACCTACGCTGAAAGAGGATACTGATCCATATTTGTTTCCTTACAAATGTGAAAGAAATACCTTGGATACTGCAGTTATCCCGCTTCATAATACAATGCTCAATTCGATAAAGGGTGATAAATCTATTCGATGTATATTTCTAGACCACATTTCTACCTTTCATTGAATTCTATTATTTCTGTTAATAAGCAAGTTTGTTAGTACTGACACTGGGAGCTGATTAACTGACTCACTGCATTCTTCTCTTTCTGGACGGAAACATTTTATTATTTACAAAGTAAAGTCTTTCCCTTCTTTACTAACTGAACTTCCGAAATTCGTTCTTTCCAACTTCCATTTCTATTTTTTCTCACATTATCGACCGACGTTTACAAAACTTTGTTAGTTATGCGGACAATTCCACTGTGTGTATACCATATAATTTTCCTTCTAATTGTATTTAAAAAAATTATTACTAGCGCACACTGGACGATGACCTATTTTAATTAGTCCTGCACTAAATCGTTCTCGCTACCAAACTGTCACCTTTAGCGATACGAAAGTGAACTGAACATGTTGGAATTCCGTGTAGTTTGTACTGTACTGAACAAGAACACGGGTGGGGACAATCGAATGCATTAAAGTACAAATTACAGATTATCTCATTAAACTCTGATAACCATACAGTAAACAGTTAATTCGCAACATAACAATCAATTGACTCAATCTTGACCGTTTTTTTTCTGTAAAAATCAGTCTATATTCTCTGATTTTATTGTTCATGCATTTTCATACCAATTGCGTTCCGTTTCGGTTCTTACCTTTTCAATCTTCTAGTGAAATACATTCTATGTCTGACTATCATCATATACTACTTATGTGGATATAAGTAACCCACACTACAGTATTACTAGAGATTTTCCAGTAAAAGCTACGTCGAATGTCATTTATCTTAATTTTTTTAATTCTAATCGCTTGTGGTCTTAGAATGTCCCGTTAACATAAAAATAGAGTGTCAATCTGTATCTAAAATTCAAATAAAATGAACGTAAAAAATTAGAGCACTGAACTTTCATTTAAGCCTAGTATAGAAATCATTAGCAACATATGATGATGAACCGCAGTGGATTCTAATTCAATACATTGAAGTCCTGCATCATGTGTGATACCACTGAAGCAATTATTTTCAAGGAACTTTCAACATTTAAATTCAAATGAAGCACGAGTCACTCTGACCTGGAATGATTATACTATTCAGAGCTTCCCACTGCAAAATTTTAAGAAGTTTATTCCATGAGTAAACACGTGATTTTCTATTCTTCGCATCACTGTTTTGTGATGCATCACGGTTTTCCTTTGCAAAGTCATTTATGAACTTGTTTTTTGCTGCTATTAAATTAAGATAAAATTATCTTCAAACAGTATAAATTTCCTTAAAGCTAACTGTATTAGTTAACCTAAGACACCAAATAATCTGTGAACAATAATCTACGTTTAATTGTAATGCTGAAAATAAACTTAATGTAGTTATATTTTTATCAAGCCTAGTTGGTGATCGTAAGCGGTTCACTTTGATTATTTATATTGATGAAACGAATTCTTCTGTATAACTTTCTTTTGCATAGATCATGTTATTCTCGACCTACCACAGAGTTTTATTCAGTTGGCGGTAATCAACAATATCAATTAGCTACTACAATAACTGGACTGCCAGCTGTACAATCTACTCCCATAGTATCTGTGATTAATAGCGATAATTTAAATAATTCAAGCATGGGAGCTAGTTTCTCGTTAAAAACACACAATCTTGATCAAAAATCTAATGAAGAACATAATTTAATTGCTAGATATGCTGCTCAGTTAGCTGCTGCTTCAGCATTAAACCAAGAATTCGATGTAAGCTAACACTTTTAAAATATAAAATAACATCCCTGTTTATAATTGTAAGCTTTAAGGATAAGGTATAAAAATAACCTTTTAATTTTTAATTAAGACCAATCCGTGATTTAATGTGTATAAATGACTGATTGTCATTGTTATAAGAGACAGATTTAAGGTTTCATTATAAGTACTTTCTCAGGTTGATTAAATGATGAGCAGAAGGTCGATAGACATATTATTTTTCGTGACTGACTAAAAGCTATCCGCGTAACTGAATTCTTGACATAAGACTGAGTGAGCTGTTACTAAACAGAAAACAATTGGGAACAAATTAGTTCAATGACATGCAGATAAGTGAGAAACTTAGAACACAAATAAATATGATTAAAAGTCGATTCATGAGAGTTTGCATTAACCCGTTGACAATATCCAGGACCCAATTTTGGTGAATCCTCTTTGTCATATATACGTCCAGAGAACATCCCCAAATATAATATGTTTGTTACAAGTTTTGGTGTATTTGTATTGCGGGAGGCAAATGTAGGTTTTATTGAGGCATTCACTTCCGACTAAATTATACCCACACAGACTGATCATAATTCAATTCTTAATGTGCATAAATAGTATTATAAAAAATCTAACAAATACTTTCAAGTATTTTGAATATGTTAGTGACTATTTCGGCTAAGTAGCTGAGTGCATAAGGAGTCAGTATTTGAAGACATCGGTACTATGTCCGAGTCTCCATTTATGCAACAACACTGGGATGATTTTAAGTCAATGATGAGTTCGAATTAATAGAGTAAGACCATTAACACGAAATGGGAATGATTGTGACGTAGTCATTGTGGTAATAGTGGTTGTGACTAACAACAATTATTAAGTATATAGTATAAAATAAGGAAGATGAATGTATAATTATAAATTTAAAAAATTGTCACGTGAGAAAATAAAAAAAACTGTCTTCACAGTCAGTCAGATGGGAAACTATTGGATTTTTAAAATATTTTATGACTTCTTTCCCTAACCGACTTAGTACTTGTTCACGAGCGCTCAAGGATGAGGATTTATGAGTATGGTCATTATAGGACCGACCCCCAAAAGGAGTATTTAATTTTCAGATAACATCGTTTAGTTGAAAACTGAGAACATGAAGACTTTAAGGAACTAACATGAATATTTTGATACTGGCGCGGATCAAATTTACATAAAAGGTTCATGGGTTAACACCAATAGACATTCTTCTAACCATGAACTTTAAATACATTGAAATAAACTACTTAAAATATCAGTAATCATAAATGCCCGTTTACCGTTAACCTTATCTAGTTTTTAGATTATATTTTCAATAAATATGTTTATAAAGCTGACAAGGATGGGTTATTTCAACGTGACAATAAGAAGTATTCCATTAACTGAATTGAGCTTTAGAAAATTAGGAGATCAAATAAAGCGTAATCAATATTGAATATTTTATTAGATACTTTAGTATAGGGACTTATTTCAGTGATAAATAAGCTTCATACAATAAGACGTATTTATTAACTGGCTGCTGATGTTTTCATTTTGTTTCAGAAATTCGGTGACTTTGTTGAATCAACACAAACTCAGAAACAATTAATTGCTCAACTACAAGAAAAGAATAGGTGAGCTATAGAGTGTATAACGATACAAGACGTGTCTATGTATAAAACCAATAACAATTATTGTTCAATTTGTCTCTAATGTCTTACGATAGTTACTAAACCATTCATTCACTTGGATATAAATTTTACAATAAAGGGAACTCAGTGTCTCACCGATTTAATAAATTTTCATCCGCTTAACGTTAAACTACAACATTTGTTTACTAAAACACAACATTTTTATTCATTTGAAACGAAACGACTAGAGCAGTTTTAGTAATGAGTAATTGTATTATGCAACCGAATCGAACTTCAAATTATTTTGTATTTTAACTGTGAATGGCTGTACATTTAAAAATATTACCCTCTAATGAATAGAATTATGTTTTGATTGTTGGAATGTTCCAACCAACAAATAACAAGTTGACAATCTTCAATTGAATAGCTCAGACATAATCAGATTTCCTACATAAGTTTAACTTCTTTTTAACAAAATTCTTCGGTTTCGGACATATCTCTGTAATCTGTTGAGTCTCAAATGATATGTAAACAAATCACATAGATGATTTGCTAATGAATTCAAAACATTTTACATCACTTCACTTTTACTAAAATGATGGTTGATTTCTTTAATGTCATAATACGTATAACATAATATCAATGTTTTGACACTTTATCTGCTTACTATGAGTACACTTTACGATTAAAGTCAGCAATAAATGATTGAAACACAAATCTTACCTTCCCTGTTGTATTCATGATCATTTATCGGATGAAGCGAGTTCACATTAGTTCATTGTTAGTTTCTATGTGAACAGATTAACTCCATAGGTAACACGTTAATATCTGAAGCATCAGGTACTGTGTTGGAGTCTCAGCGTAAATACTTATACTGAAATACAAATACGCTGTCATTGAAAGATGAAAAATAATCCTCGATTCTATCTGTTGTCACAATCTGAACATACTATAACTTTATGGTTATCAGAAGATTCAACGACCCAAACTATTCTTCCAACTATAGATACTGCTTTAACAATTCTAGCATTCCTACGGTAACGATAAAAAATTTCACCAAGCCCTCATTTTTTAAACAATGATTGGTAACACATAACTCCGCCTGTAGCCCCTCCAGGGGCTATTGCCGGTTCCAAGCCCGGATAAAGGAGGAGGATCGGGCATGGGGTTGGCGATCTTATTCCATAGAAAACTAACCCGTTAAAAAAACACGAACCAGAAACATTTTGTTCAAACAATTTAATCTCTGCCCTGGGAGTCAGATGGTCTTTACTCAGAGTTATGATGCCTCATGACGAAAGCCGAGTTCCTTTGGAAGCCACGAGGCCGATGGCCCTTCTGACAACCAGGGCAACCATTTATCTAGGTATATGGAATGCTTGCACAATGTGGGAGACCGGAAGAGTCTTCCGAATTGCTACAGAAACGAGGAGATACAACCTGGAGGTGCTTGGGATCAGTGAAACACATTGTACGCAGGTTGGACAACAACGACTAGCTTCAGGAGAGCTTCTGTTATACTCCGGCCATGAAAAAGAAAATGCTCCAAATACACAAGGAGTTGCATTGGTGCTGTTCAAACAAGCACAAAATGCCCTTATAGGATGGGAACCTCATGAACCAAGGACCATCAAAGCCTCCTTCAAAACAAAGAAAGAGGGTATTACAATGAACGTCATCCAATGTTATGCGCCTACCAATGAATACGATGAAGACGTTAATGATCAATTCTACGATAAGCTGCAGTCGACCGTCGAGAAGTGCTCAACAAAGGACCTTACCTGGCGATTTAAATGCCAAGTATGGAATGGACAACACTGGATATGAAGACATCATGGAATGACATGGACTGGGAGAAAAGAACGAAAATGGTGAGTGATTTGCAAATCTGTGTGCCTCCCACACAAAGCCACATGGACTTCACCGGATCACACTACACAGAACCAAATCGACCATATCTGCATCAACAAAACGTTCAGGAGGACGATAGAGGACGTGAAAACCAGGAGAGGAGCTGATATAGCATTAGATCATCACTTGCTGGTCGCCAAGATGAAATTAAAACTTAAGAAGCACTGGACAACGGGGCGGACAACATCACAAAAGTTTAATACGGCTTTTCTTCGGGATACTGACAAACTCAACGAATTCAACATAGTCCTCAGCAATTGATTCCAAGCCTTTCATGATCTACTCAATGGAGAGGGAACTACCTTGTAAAACAACTGGAAAGGGATCAAGGAGGAAATCACTCCAAAAGGTCATAAAGTTCTGGGACACAAAAAGTACCATCACAAGGAATGGATCACTGTTGATACACTGGATAAGACTGAAGAAAGGAGGAACAAGAAGGCAGCAATCAAATACCAGCCGAACAAGAGCAGAAAAAGTCAAGGTACAAGCCGAATACACAGAATTAAACAGACATGTGAAGAGGAGCATAGAACCCATAAACGTAAGAATGTGAAAGATTTAGCAATGACGGCGGAAAAGGCTGCAAGAGAAGGAAACATGAGACAACTGTATGAAACAACCAAGAAACTTGCTGGAAATTACCGTAAACCAGAACGACCAGTGAAAAGTAAGGAAGGCAAGGTAGTCACCAACATTTCAGAACAACGAAATAGCTGGGTAGAACACTTCAAAGAACTCTTGAATCGACCAGCTCCATTGAACCCACCCAACACTGAAGCAGCACCCACAGACCTCCCAATCGATGTTGGCCTACCAACAATTGAAGAGATCAGCATGGCCATCAGACAATTCAAGAGTGGCAAAGCAGCGGGACCAGACAACATCCCGGCAGAGGCACTGAAAGCAGATGTAGCCGCAGCTGCAAAGATACTCCACATTCTCTTCAGTAAGATTTGGGATCAAGAACAAGTACCAACAGTCTAGAAAGAAGGACTTCTGATCAAAATACCAAAGAAAGGTGATCTCAGAAAGTGTGATAAATACAGGGGCATCACTCTTCTCTCAATACCAGGAAAAGTCTTCAACATGGCATTGTTAAACAGAAGGAGAGACTCTGTAGACGCCCAACTTCGAGATCAACAGGCTGGATTCCGTAAAGATCGATCGTGTACAGACCAAATCGCAACTCTTCGGATCATTATGGAACAATCAATTGAATGGAATTCATCACTCTACATCAACTTCGTTCACGACGAGAAAGCATTCGATAGCGTGGACAGGACAACACCATGGAGGCTTCTTCGACACTGCGGCGTGCCTGCCTGAGAAGATAGTCAATATCATACGGAATTCCTATGATGGATTAAACTGCAAAATCGTGCATGGACGACAGTTGACAGACTCGTTTGAGGTAAAGACCGATGTCAAGCAAGGTTGCTTACTTTCACCTTTTCTCTTTCTCCTGATATTCGACTGAACCATGAAGACATTAACATCTGGAGGGAATTATGGAATACAGTGGACAGCTAGGATGCAGTTGGACGATTTAGACTTCGCAAATAATCAGGCTCTTCTATCACACAAACAAAATGTCTTGAGGGCATAACAAACAAGAAAAAGGGCGTATACTAAAGTTTACTGAAGCCTTAGCCATACGAAAATTCAAACCCCCTTTAGTGTATTCAAAAACAGTTTGTTCTCACCTTAAACCTATCCTGGTAATATTAGCTTATTATTCATAGTGATTAGGTTTCAAATTGTTTTCATATTGTTCTTATCATTATTATTATCTTTGTCTACTCTTACACCCTCCCCCATTCCAGTCTAGTTGACCTTTTATTTTTATATATAAATGTTCTTAACAAGTATAGTACGTGTGATCAGATTGTTCGAAATGTATTGCGCTAATATATCACAGCAGGACTCATCATTGACCATCCGTACACTTCAACTCGTAATCTCATTAAATAGTGACTGAAGTGTTTAACGTTATTCACCTCAATAACTAATTTGGGTCCGTTACATACTTCCATCTATTTGATTTCCTAAACATCAGATTGATTTCGTCACTACTTTTATTTAGTACACTTCACTATTATCTGTGAGTTAAAATGTACTAAATTTGGTTTCCACTGAATAACTTACTCAAGCTTGACAACATTATGTTAAATTATATCATTGTAGTGATGTACAGTAAAAACATATAGATAAGCTTAGTAAATTATATTTGATTTTGAAATGTACGGCATTCTTGTCTAAGTAACAGAACCTATTCTATCGTGTAGATTTCACATTACAACTATAGTTATTAGTTCTTTTTAAATTCTATTTATTCGCTGAAAATTATCACATGAATTAGGTTGAACTCCTGTTTGTGTTAATGAGATCGTAAAGAGATTGATGGATAAGAATTTTTGACAGTCTTGAGAATAAGTAACACATTGTCAAGGTATTGTTCCTAAATACCTCAACATTTACCAACAGTGTAGAAAACTTGTGTTAAGTTTATGACTTGTCAGTCAAATAAACAAGATATATTTTTTGTAGCGTAGAGAGACAAATTATATATATATATATATATATATATATATATATATATATATATATATATATATTTAGTCCTTGACAAAACTTTTATTCGGTAAAATGTTTCATGGTGACATTTGTGTTTCTTTCCATTAAATTAGAAAAATACTAAAAGAGATCGAACGATTACGAGTTGAACAGCAAAAACAAGCAGCATTCATTGCTGCTGCTGGTTCCCTCAAACATGATTCCTCTGAGTTACAAGATGTTTGTGACGAAGGCGCTGGTACACTTAGCCCGACAAATCTAAAACAATACTTAAAATCAGATAATTTATTGGCTTCCGGAGTTGGCAATTCAGTGAATTCAGAAAATCCCCGTTTGGTTGCTGATCTACAGGCGCTTCGTCAAAGAAAAGATGAACTGGAGTCGAGAATGAGTAATCTACAAGTAAGTAATTTCTTTGGAACTAAAGATTCGAAACTCAAACTAGAAGTTCTTCTAAACAGAAACAATCACCAAAAAGATGATAATTGCCCTTAAATATTCGTATGTCACATTATATACACATTTTTGACACATTCTTTTAAAATTTCTGATGTTGCCGATGTTACTTTATAACCAGCTACATGTAATTGTGACAAAAATAAAACGGAATATACTATCCCAAGTAACTATCATTTACATTAGGTTTCTATCAATAACCATTGGAAATAAACAGTTTATTATCATCTATATCTTTTGAAGCTGCAGATAGTAAATTAGAAGTAGACCGGAACGTATATAATTATTCCTAACGTCAGTGAGCAGGTAAAATTTACCTCTATGAAACGCAGAAGTATATTTATAACTGATTTACGAAGAAATTTCACTAAAAATCTGAAAACAACCATAACACTCAAATGCCTAACTAGAATAGCCAACAGTATGCAATTCAGCGATCATTATATGGCAACGTTTCTAATTGTCTTTACAAAAAATAAAAACATGTCTCCTTTAAAAATTCTATCGACATTGTCCCACATACGTAAATTGCGAGTGAAATTTTATCATATTGTTTGTAAGCTGTTCATATAAACCATGACAGTGAATCTGATAAATTATATCACACAGATGTTGTTCACTTTTAAAATTCTTCAAGTCTGTTTCATGTATCCGTGAACACTAGTAGTTTAATGCTCGAAAACTCAGATGTTGTAACTAAAACAGTGTCTAAGTAAACCATCAAAACCGTACATCAAATACAATATTTCCACACCTTCCTTCAGTTGTCCTTTACATATTTCGTGATTCTTCCAATTCTGCTTTTACTACGATTGCTCTCTGTTTTTCTTCCTGTTCTCCTCAATTCAATCTTATGCTGGCAGGCATTTCTTTTCCGATTGCTGCTACATACTACACATATCTGTTAGCCTAAATAGCATAAACCACAGTAGATGTAAATAATAATTTCAAAGGTAAAGTTGGCTTAGTTTTTACAGAACAAATTTTTCTTCTCATTGTACATTTAGCGTAGTCGAACAGATTTGATGTTACAGTTAGAAGCATTAGTAAGACTTTTATCTGTCAGTACAGGAGCTACTAATGCGCGTGATAATAATCCTTCAGCGTTACTTGATCTAAATGACGTTCGCCGAACAGGTCATAATTCCCGACTGAATCAAAAAGTTCCAGATTATCCACCAAGACGAAGTACAAGTTTATGTGATCCGTCAGTTGGAAGAGGTTATCAAGACAATTTCGCTTCAGTAAGTTGATATTTGTTATTTCTGTGTCGTAACTCCTTGACTTACATGTAATATTGATTTAATGGAATGTACACTAAACTGGAAGTTTTTCAAACAACAATTGTATTTTTCGGAGAATGATACCCATTATTTTTATTAGTCTGATGTTTATTAATAATCAGCACTAAGAACAATAAACACTTATCATTGTAATTCCAAGACAACGAAGCTCTTTTTAAAAGTAGTTCGTATGAAATTTTGTTTCATGTATTGTAACAGTGTATGAAAACTCTTATGAAGGTGGAAGTCTGTATCTCACATGACAGTGTCAAAATGCCAAAATTAATACGTTTGTTTGAAAAACAACAGTAATGTTTGTCGCCTACATAACATTCCCTCTTATTAGCTATTTTTCGGTACATTACCAAGGTCGGTTAACTTAAGCTCTAGGCCCAAGAGAGAAAATGTTTGAAAAAGTGCATTAAAAAAATTTTGATCAGTATCGAATTGTTTTCTAAGGTATGTGGCGCAATAATTTTCAAAGTCTAGAACACAGCGTCACTGCCAGTCTTCGAAACGTATTTGTACCCAATAATCATAATAAGAAATTCGAATCGCCCACGTTCAGTCAGTCAGTCAGTCAGTCAGCTACAACGTAGGACCAGGCACATTTATGCATATCGCCCACGTTATTCCCATATGAATTATGGAGAAATTCTACTTCTTAGTTCGAAAATTATTCTAACCCAAAGGTGGTGTCATCAATCTCGGTAACAGTTTATTCGTTGAACATCTGAGTTATCAAAAGGCAGTCTTCTAAATTATAATTACAATCCTAACTAAATACCAATATTCTAATTAGGTATTTGATGTGCAATTATAATCTCAATTAATGTGCCAATCGCTTTAAGTTAAATACAATCTGTTCACCGTATTTTGCAAACATTGTTTTTCTCAATTTGTTCAGATCTGTAAAGGAAGCTAACTGGATGAAATAAGATGTTTATTTCATTAGCATACTTGAAGTTATTACTAATCATCAGATTTATTCACTATACATGAGGACTACATTTACTTGTATAAAAGAAATTTTGTTTTAATTCACTTCTATCCATATTATCCCACAAAAATTACTTTTTTATCAAGATCAACCAATATATGTTGGAAGAGTTAAAATCTATCCTCGTTGTTCAGTGGTCATTTAAATCATATACACATGAATATAAACAGTCTGACATTACTTTATTTATGTTAACCACTAGAAAATAATTTATCATTTTCTATAGATAAATATTATCAAATTTTCATTGTAGGAAAGTAGGCATAATGGGACGAATGGTGTTCATCCAAAACCCGGTTCCTCGGATAATATGGGTAAAATATTTTCCCCCTTAAAAACAATTACTATTGAAGAAAAAGGTGGACAATGGAATTTTAAGTTTCCTGATGATAAAAAGCATGAATTACATTCACCTTCATCTATTCCGTACAGGTACCGAAAATGTTTTGATGTTTTTTAGCTAGTAGGCAATTGTTTCACATCACACAACTATTCAAAATCGAAAGTTCAAATAAATCTATTTAAATATTTTTACCGTTGTCTCACAATTGATAATTAAACTTGCATAAAAGGATCTAAAAATATTCGGCAAAGTCTACAAGGGACTTATGATATGTATCGTGAAAGCAACCTGCCAATTTCATATTCTATGTAATCTGTTGCAACCTGAATTTTTTCACCAAGATACTTCAAGATACGATGCATTAGTGAATTTCTGCCGACCCTACTCTTCTAACAGAGAATTTTATATATCTTAGAATTTTATTTTGCGTAATAACCTCTAACCGGCCTACCACTGAGTACTGTAACCTGAGAAGTAGGATTTATATTATTCCGATTATCACATCTTATAAGTAATCAACATTTTAAATAACTACCCTTCAACAGCGTTTTCAAGTTATTATTTTCAAGCACTTAATGAATACGTTGTTAAATTTGATTGGTTCGCTCGAATTTTCAGTAGCCTCAATTAAGTGACCAGTTAGTGCTAATTTCATTCCTACCACTCCTCAAAAGCGTATATCACATTATTTGAAGTATATGCAGCGTGGAGTTAAACACGGATGAGTTCATACACAGTTAGCGTGTCCTACATATACTTCGTCACACGGAAATATTTTTTCCCGTAAGTGCTAATTTTATGTCGACTAGGCTTTGGAATGTTTTTCGTTTACGAATGAAAAACTTACTGAATACCTAGTCAACATTGGAATCGTAAAACAGGTATTGCAACAATAAATAATTAATTGAGTAATCCAGCTGTCAAACTTAGAAATGAAAAGACTGGAAACATCTTGTCGGTTCTATATCCGTCTGAAATGAGGAAAATTGTTGAAAGATGGGACCATAAACTATTAAAACTTGAAATCTATTTCAAATTTATATTAGCATGATGCCCTACTGGATTAGAAGTTGCACATGTAATTTTCATTACGATTATATATCACTTTAAACGTAAACAAAATTCCAAATCAAAATATTTGTTTCTTGCAAGATCACCTTCCAGATATGATTTTTCCTTACTTCTCATCTTAAGTCACCTCACCATTACGTTTTCCAGTCACCATTAAGAATGACTTATAAACAAAAGGGTAATGTTAGGTATTTAGATGTTTTATAAGTTTTACCTAATAATATAATAACTTTTTCCGATCTTGATTATACCAGGAAGACTTGAGCATTTGAAAACCACAGGTGTATGTATTTCAAACTTGCTCTATTCGACCATTGTATTCTGAACTTTATCGTTTCTATTTTCATATTTGATTCTGTAGACATTCACCTGAAGTTGGCCAACAACGACCATCAGATACTCTGATTGAAAAGTACAAAGATTTATTATATAAAGGGACAAATACACAAATTGGAGCGTCAAAATCATTAAGAGTTCATTTCGGTGGGCGAAGACCTGATATAGGAGTAAGTTATACGATACTTTCTGATAGTGTTTTAAAAAAATTTACTGAGAAACTCCATAATACTTCATGACCCCAACTTATGGAAACTTCATACCCTGAAAATTAGAATAATACATATAAAAGAATAATATTGTTTTCAGTTAGTTTTTCATAAGGCTTTACTCTAATATACAGTAATATTGAGATGAGTATCTGAAAAATATTAGATAAGTTAGAGCAATTTATGAGTCAATGATAATAACGAAGTAGATTATATGACTAAACGTAATAAGTAAAAATTACAAATTCATAGTGAGATGACAGGTATACTAGTTCTGATGGAAATAATAAAATCGTCAATCAATTTTATTAGGATTTTTAAGGCCGCTAATATTACTTTATCTTTTCCTAGTCTGCCGGTGACCTTTACTGAAACAAAGGACAAGTTACTTGATTTCGAATTATCGTTATGTATCCATAAATTCAGCTGCTCCTGCGGAGACAGCTATAATATACATACCACCAGATAACTTAACCAACGAATGAATGAATATCTTCCGGATTCGTTTCGAAATAGTCGGACTCACACTTAACAGTTCCATTTCACTACACATGGGCGAGAGAGTTTATATGGTTCATAAAATGAAGTTTCAAATGATGTGCCTTATGCTTTCATCGTTTCCCATCGGAATTTGATATTATCTTTTAAATAGAACAGAAACCATTTGAATTAACCAAGGACCGTGGTAATGTGCTCAGAAGAAATTAGTAGCACATCTGTTCGATTCTTGGCCGAATATGCCTTTACTAATAGTTTTACTAACTATCGATACTACTTTCCGTCTCCTTTGCTCGTCTGTTTTTCTTAGAAATCTTACATACGTTCTTAATTATCTAATTATTTGAGTACATCTCATCTTATAATTTTAACAATTTTCACTGAACGTCATTTCAATGACAAATCTTCCCGAGTTTTCTGTCTTATCTCATGTACAGAAACATTAACTCAGGCTTTCATTATTTCTATCAGAATAAGTATGCCTGTCACCTCACTATGGATTTGTAATTTTTACTTATTATGTTTAGCCATATAATCTACTTCGTTATTATCATTGACTCATAAATTGCTCTAACTTATCTAATATTTTTCAGATACTCATCTCAATATTACTGTATATTAGAGTAAAGCCTTATGAAAAATACTGTTCTCTCGAATATGCTGTTCTGAATCCGAATAATTCATAAATAAGGTATAACTCGTGGACGTATCTAATCATTATTGGTCTAATATTACATTTAATACAAAGTTACAGAAGAACTACTTAAAATTAACAAAGACCCTGCCTTGGCAACAAAAGGATGCAAAATCACTAGATATTTCGTTTCTTTTTACAACAATTTAAAAGAAAATTTCTAGTTGAATGTATTATCTCAACCCAATTCTCTGAATGATAAGTTATCTTAAAATATTACAAGTTTCATTTTGATGACCATAAGGATTCCTAATAACTTTATTCCTTGATAGTCATTGAAATAAATTGAAATAAAAATCTGACCAAACTAATTAAATGTGTAGTAAGTACTTGACCTGATTTGTTTCTTGCACTATTTAAAATGGTGTCAAATTGGAAAAGCTACTTAAATTTTTGCTATGAAAGATCGAAAAAAGAAATTAGGCGTTTCTACTCTTTAAGATATAATAAGAGTATCACTTTAACTATCATAAAAATAATCTAACCCAAACCTAATTTATAGAATATTATCACATCAGATTTAGAGAATGATGCTCACAATATCCTTATTCACTTCTCATAATGTTATTTAGTATGAAAGTTTGAGCTCTAGGATTTATTAACACGAAGTGTATTCATAATCTGTTAATCAGTATCACTGTATTGTGAGCCCGATCATTTCAAAGGATATATGTTTGATTGTAATGTAATGTAATCGTTTAATGAGTATTTACTGAACAGTAATGAATGTTACAGTGAATGAAATTTGAACAGTAATTAAGGTATACATTACCTTTTACTCTTTTTTATCAATCCAATTATCGGATTTCAATTTTCCCAGTGAGCTAATCAGGTTTTCCTCATTTTCACTCTTAATTTTATACCAGACCTTATCAGCTGATGAGAAAACTGAGTTTTTTAGTCATAATTCAGTAAATGTGAACAGATTGTCATCAAATCATTCATCACAACATACAAATCACTCGGACAGCGGATCGGACGCATATTTATACTCAGATCCTGAATTATGCTTTACAGTCATCACATCTACCTGTGGTTCATCGCAATCTAGCACTTCAGCACCACAAAGAACATTACAATTACCACAATTCCATTCTATAACTCCGTCAGCTGCTAAAAGTTCAACAAAATCCAAAGATTTTTTAGACCTTTTAAACGATAAAATTATAACAACAACTACAATTGTAGATAATTATGAATACGCTAGTTTACAGTCATCATCAATCTCACCATTATCATATTCGTCAAATGAGCATACTAAAAATGTGAGAACTAACGTTATTTCAAACATTCCAGCTACAACTAATCCTTAGTTACCGAAGCCGTAAGTAATTATTTAATATCAATTAATTCTGATCCATGTTCTTTAAACAATTCTACATACTTACTACTTAACCAAATACATACCAGTGTTTAAATATTGCAGAGTATATTTAAGTTGAATAATTATTCTTAGGATTATTTAACTCCTTATTTTGTAGGTAACTTGTTTTCTTCTTGGATATTAGTTTGAAATTCTTAGTTTCCATTGAATGTTACGATATTCTAACAGACCGTCATGTATTGCTATACTTAAATCACTGATAAACTCAAAATATATGATTGATTGATTCTATACACCTATTTTCTTCATTTCCTAAACACTGCTGGATTACAGCTAATATTGTAGTGAACGTGAACATGAGTGTATCTGAACACAAAATTACGAAATGTCTTAGTAAAACCTGAGAACCATACAGTAAATACTTCATTCGCAAAATGTCAATCAATCGTCTCAGACTTAATTGTTCCTTCATTTCCACACCAATCATTCTCTATTCTCGTCCTCTTTTCTTCGATCTTTTTAACCTTCTGCCTCCAGGCATTTCACTTTCGATTGATGATATATACTACTTATATCTGTCGACATCAGTAGCACAAACCACAATATATCTACAAACTACAGTATGATAACATTTTCAAGAACTCCATTGCATGAATAAAACCTGTTGTCATATACCTATAAAAATATAATTAAATTAGGCAGTTATCTATTTAAACATGATAGGAACTTCCCAACAGATATTTATTGGCTTGACGAAATTATACAATAAAACTACACAAGTAATATTTACATAAACACCATTACATTGGGTTAAAAGTGTTTCATTTATGACTTTTACCAACAATTTTGATTAAAGGTTTTTTTTTAAATGAAATATATAATTATACGGGTGTTTAAACGTTGATCTCTGTTACATATTATCATTCACCGGAAATGAAACAACATCAAATTGAACAGTACATTGACTAATTGAAAACGATTTGACAAGCAAATGTTCCGCTTCACTAAAGTAGTCAACATAAAACGCATTTATAAAATATAAGAATGGTTTGAAGACAGTTGATTTTAATTTGCCTTGAAAACATTAATCAAAACTGTTATCAAAAATCATGTGTAATACAGTTACTTTGAATGATTAATTTTATTTCATATCTTTAATTACAGGGCGATTATTTGTTTAAACTAGTTTACATACCAACTAAGATTTAGACCAGTTATTTAGACTTTTAACTTTAGTCAGCTTACGATATCGTGTGATTATTAACATATATCTATGTATATATCTCCGTACTATTTCGATGAACCAACTTAGATATTTTCACATTTTCTATGTTGTGAGCCATGAAGTCTCCTGAATAAATCCCAAGAACCTAAACACTGAAGTGTTGACTGATGAAATAGTTATGGTTTTGCACCAAGCAGTTTTTTTATCACGAGCTCCACTCGTTTGAGTTAAACAATATTGCAACTATTTTCAAACTACCTAAACGAAGAATTTTCATTCCTTGTACATTTACTATGATAATGTATTTAAAATTTCTCAACTGCTTCACTAATTTGCATTAAAGTGAGACTTAAAGCATTCTTTTAAACTGGTAAGATTATCTAAAGTTTTATGTAAATACAAAGACAGCTTTTTAAATACTATTCCATTCTAAGATCGAAAAATCACAGATATTCCATACATTTAAAAACACATTTTATCATTAGTCGGATTGAATTATTGCAAATAGTAATGATATACGAAGAAGCCAAGTACAAACATTTAGCTTTATTCCTATAGTCCCTAGCGGTGAAAACAATCTCGATGATAGAGTAAACAATCATGTAGATAAATCCAAAAATTTAAGGCTCGTCTAATAAAAAATAATACTTACCAAATGTTCTTGTCTATAATAAATATGATAATATTCAATAACTATATTGTCATTGATATCTTGTTGTCCATAGATGTACTCCGGTAGCTTAGTTGGTTAGAGCGCCGTACTTATAATCCGGAGGTCATAGATGTACACGCTTGAACAAAAAACAATATAGCAATCATTTCGTTTTAAGGTAGATGTAAAAACCATTAAATATGGATACTTTACGCAACACCTTCAAACTTTTTAGGTTCATTACTTCTTAACTTTCCAGATGAGAACATATGGTCTACTATTGACTATCGTCCTTTAACAAAAATGATAGTTTATCTACACAATAATATGACATTTTGTAGTTCTTATATTTTTTTCGATACATTTATTCATTATTTATACCGGCCTATTTGATTTCAGGTACTCAGCAGTTATTGTGATCATACTGAATATATATGTATATAAAATAGGACAAAATAATTGATTATTCTACAATCATACTCGAGTAATGCTTCACGGAAATGAACTCTCATTTGATTTTAAACATAAAGGCAGAAAATACAAATCCATATCATGAGCAATAAACAAACGGATCTTGAAAATTTTGATTCATGTTTCATCTCAAGCTTATCAGAATAAGGGAAAAATCATTTCTTTTTGTTTCTTATCTTATTTCCTTTAACTTACTCTCTGTTTTTATCGTTCACTGATAGTCATATGTATTGTTGATTGAAGATTATCAATGTAAATGTAATTGTTTTCTCTATGTAAACAAGCAGTTGTTATGCTTTCAATTATGTTTGTTGTACGTAAAAAATGTTTTCGTTACACTCATTCTCCTATTTATCGCTTAATAATTTACCTAAAATTTATAAAATTCTACATTAAAGATAATCATGATAATGGTGTTATTGTTTGCGAATGAAGTAGATATTGACTACAAAATAAACAGACTACCTCTTGTTTTCGTTTATTATATATTCACCAGATCGAGATCAGCATTATTCAACTCGTATTAAACAGATTTCATTAAACAAACAGCAAGATGTCGAACAAAATTTCTTATGAAAGTGAATGTATGTGAGATATTCTTGTTTTTACTTATAAATTTCGTATTCATTTCGAAAATAGTTTCTCATTATTATTTTTCGATATTCTGTCACATAAGAGAACACAAATGTAAAATCATATCCCAGATGGAAATAATGATGGTTTATTTGGACTTTATTTCGTTTCCTTATAATGAATTCAATAATTGTATTCAGTAAAATAGAACAAATGCGTTATTGAAATAATAATTATTAATCTATCTATCACTGGAATTGTGACATTATTTATTTGAATAAAATAGTCATCAGTCATTCATTAACCTTCTTTTATTACTCTTTCATCATTCATAGTCACGGGGTAAAAAGGAACGCTGTTAGTAGAAGTTGCAATTTTTTCATGTTTATTTCATAATGCAAACTGACATATATGTAGGAGCATATTTTCTTAACATTCATGGGTACAGGGCCGGAAATGTATCAAGATTGTTTATTTCATGAGCTCATTTCTGGCTTCTATTTTTAATTCAATAAATTCAGTATTTAAAGTTCTAGATATTTCTCACAGCTGAATCTTCAATATTAGCTTTCTCAAAAACATAAGCAGTTTAATAAAAATATTTATATTGATAGCTGTTGGCATTATTAGAGTGTATTATTCAACTATCCGAGTGTTATCTGACTTTTAATATTAGGTTTAACAGAACACATCCTAGTTTAATGACGGAATTTCTAGCTCAGTTGAACCTGTTGAATAACTAGTTCAAATAATTAGATGGTAAAAAATGTTTTCGTACACATTTTCAACTTACATGTGATATTCATTAAAAAACATTTTTGTAATAACCCAGTTAGTAGAACAATAAACTTTTCTGGCGTTTCGTGACTTAGTATAAGCGACTTCTTCAGAGAATAAATAAACAAATTAAATTAACCCAAGTTTAAATAGTACGAAGGGACAAAACAAAAATAAATAGTACTATCAATCAAAAAATAAGTTCGATTATTTCGATAGTGTAATAAGAAGATGAAGATTATCAGAACTATGTGATTATTAGCGCAATACATTTCGAACAATCTGCTCACACATATATCATTTATATATAAAAATAAAAGGTCAACTAGACTGGAAATGGGGGCAAGGATAATAGTAATAATGAAAATAATGTGAAAACAATTTAACACCTAATCACTCTGGATAATAAGCTAATAGTATAAACTAATAGTATACTCCCTATTACACTTTTATACAACACCACAAAAGCCGAGTTAAGATCAATCTTTCGGCCTGTTTCGATCATATGTCTGGCAATAGACGATGATGGTTGTTTATTCTCTACTCTTATTGGGTCATTTGATTCTATTTGTTAGCCAGAGTGATTAGGTGTCAAATTGTTTTCACATTATTTTTATTAGTTGGAATCTTCACTGTAAGTAGTATGATAATCACATCGATATATATTCAGAAAGAACTATTTAAAAATAATAAAACAATACAACTTCATTACAGAAATAAAAGTCATAATTTGGTGAAATCTTTATACCGAAAACCAACATCTCCATTTATACTGATAAGTCACAAAGATGACAGAAGATATATTCAACAATAAACAATAGGATATTTCCACACTAGTGATATAAAATGACAAAGATTACATTTTAAGCATAATGTTACTTACTGACAATATTGAGGCAATCCCCAGAGGATGCATGTATTTAAAAAAGGATTGATCAATTCTAGACCTAAACATCAATGAGAAGATCCAAACAAACAATATATATATATATATATATATATATATATATATATATATATATATATATATATATATATATATATACAATTAAGGCTCAGGAAACACTAAGATGCCCTTTATCCAATCAGAGTTCATTAGAAGTTTTGCCAGAAACATCACGAAAATGAAAAGTCACATGTAGAGTTTCTGATTGGCTGATTACTACACTGCTATTGTGTTTAGTAGCATTCCATTTCGGGAAAACCCATGGACTTCTAAAATACAGGAAAAAACCTATATTTTCTTTACATGAATGGGCCTTCGGAGTAAATAGGAATTGATCTACCAGGGGGACCACTAAGCGACTTAGAATACGCAGATGACATAGTCCTGTTTGGTGAAGACGCTGGCAAAATGCAGAGTCTTCTGTTGGAACTCAGTAATAATGCCAGGATGTTTGGGATGCGATTCTCCCCATCCAAATGTAAATTGTTACTCCAGGACTGGCCTGCATCAACACCTGAACTAAGGATAGGGAGTGAAGTAGTCGAACGCGTTGACAACTTCACTTATCTTGGAAGTCTGATCAGCCCTAATGGGTTGGTGTCTGACGAAATCTCAGCACGGATTCAAAAAGCTCGTTTGGCTTTTGCCAACTTACGTCACCTATGGCGAAGACGAGATATCCGTCTATCAATTAAGGGACGAGTATACTGCGCATCAGTTCGCTCTGTTCTACTTTACGGTTGTGAAACATGGCCATTAAGAGTAGAAGATACTCGTAGGTTACTAGTATTTGACCACAGATGCCTTAGAAATATTGCACGCATCTGCTGGGATCACCGGGTAAGTAATAGTGAGGTTAGACGCAGGGTATTAGGGAACGATGGTAAATCAGTTGATGAGGTGATGAATCTTCATCGACTGAGATGGTTGGGCCATGTGTTACGTATGCCTGAACACCGATTACCACGACGCGCTATGATGACTAGTGTAGGGGATTGTTGGAAGAGAGTTAGGGGCGGCCAAACCAAAACATGGCATCAGTGTTTGAAGTCACTAACTTCTAGTCTGAGCCATGTTGGCAGATGCAGACTACCTGGTTATGGTCCGCGTGACTATCGTAACCAATGGTTGGAGACTCTAGGTGACATGGCTCAGAATCGATCACAATGGCGTAGGTGTATACACTCTTTATCTTCCTTTAAACCTTGAGACTAAAATTTCTTCATATCTCTCTTCCTTCCTATACTATATCCTTATATACAACCTATAATTTATATACTACTACCACCACTACATTAATTACTTCTATGAATCCGGTGTTCATCTTGTTGTGCTAACGAGGTATGGCAACTTGGACCGATGCATAAATGTGCCTGGTCCTACGTCGTAGCTGACTGACTGACTGACTTCGGAGTAAAGTGCTTCTCACATATTTTGCGTTTTTTCTCTCGTGTTCAAGTTGCTGTGTAGATTTAGCTTGTGAGTTACGAGAATAGCTTTCAATTAGCGAGACTTATCAATTATTCTGTAAATCTAGGAAATTCAAAAAATAAACTCTTGCCATAATAAAAAATGGATTGTTAATTAAAAATTGGAGGCAGTGTATTTTTAAACTTAAACATTATGTAACTAGTTCTAAATTTTGACTACCAATTTTCCCCATGAGGATTGTAAACTCTAACTTTTGTAACGATTTATTTTCTTGAGGATGATTAGATGTAAAGTTGTTAAGTAGCTCAACAAATTCCATGTTGCTTGATTAATTACAATAATGCATTTAAATAGCTATGAACAAAAGAATAAACGAATGAATAGATATGGATCTTGACTAACAATGTAGACGACATTTAATAATAAAGTCACAAGTAGTTTCTTCCATTGGGAAAACTAAAGCCAAAGTGCATGACAGATCGTTTTGATTGGGTCCCCTATATCAATTTTGTTATGACTCGTATGCTGAACGCTTTATTCGGATCCTAGCTATTCGGATAACCCCAGGCTAGCACTACTCAGCGACTTGGAAGACCAGAGAGAAGACACGAGTATCAGAGAAGCACTTTACTACAAGGTTCAATTATGTACAGAAAAACAGGGGTTTTATAGTAGCTAAAAGACCTTGAGATCCCATAGTAACAGTATGTTAACAGCCAATCAGGACCTTGTTATTTTAGTAGCATAGCTTCTAACTAATCGCTGATTGGTTGGTCTCTTTATGAGCCTCTCTGGAGGCTCTGATAGAGTTTATTGTAAGCCGATCTAACAAATTTATGACTGGAACTGTCTGTCACCCATAACATTTAGAAATATTATACCTAGAAAACTAGTGTTAAGCAAATGATTCTTATTTCTAATAATAAAACCTTTTGCTAAACTCAAGCTTCAGTTCAAATAAAAGTTGTTTTAACTGCTGTACATCTCATCAACAAGGGCACTAGGTGTAGAGTTATTATCATAAAAATATTTTTATACCCAATTTTATGAAACTTACTACAAACTATAGAAGGTTATTATTGATTTAAATATAATGAATTTTCCATCCCTTTGCATAACTATCTAATCTACTTAAACAATTCCCTTTCTGTCCCACTATCTTCCTATATAGAGAGGAAAACAACCAGTTTTTCTCCTTTTTGGCAAATGTAAATAAGACTTGAGTGAAGGAATTGTGTACACTTCATTCAAATAGGCGTAAAATAAATAGACTTATTTAAGAAGAGAATGACCATGTGAGTTCCACCCTAACAGTTTTATGTCTGTGCAGAATGTCAGTTCATCACTTCATCTGTTAGCTCATCTTCCTCTAGTCTGTGACAATTTAGCATGTTCATTAAGTAAGTATGTGTGTTTCTCTTGCCAAAACAAAAAACATTTTGAACAGTAAACCTCACTTCTTAGTTCAGATATTGTCATATCACTTACTGTACTACGATTTCCGTTTACTTCTATTACACTTTTATAATCAAATATGTATTCATGATATCCATCCAACAGTTTTTTCTGGCATACACTCATAATGCAACTACACACCATTTAGATAAATGGTACAATCATATGTATATATTAATGAGTGTAGTTACTATAGTCTGATATAAATCATTCACAGTAACTTTACTTCATATTATTGTCTTTGTTGTTTGACATACATAAATAAATGATCGTTTACAGTTAGATTAAATTAATTATGTAACCATATAATATAATAATAAATATTTAACCAATGACAAGAATTTCGATTAAAATTACCATCTTACCATATATAAAATGACAAAAGATGAATTTTTAAAAAATAGTTCAGTATCTTGCTTATGGAAAATATCATTTATCCATAGGTAAAAAAGTGACTATTCATGTGTACGAACGAGTTATCAGAAATAGGTTAGTTTTGGCAAAATCTGGCTCATTCGTTGTTTCACAAAGGATAATTGATTAAAAGTAAAGATGGATAGGGGATAGCAGTGGAATCCAGGACGCACGTTTCGTCCTATTAGGGACTCGTCAGCTGGATATACCTGCATCTCAGGGTTGATGTTCATTCTGGGACTCGAACCCAGTACCTTTCGCTTCAAACGCCATCACGTTATCCACTCAGC